TATCTAACTTTTATTAGACTTGTGGATCCTAAAAGACCTAAATTAAGTGTGAAAGATGTCACTTATGATTTTCTTGGATATGCAACAAATAGTACAGCCTATAGATTTTTTGATATTGAAAACAAAATAATTTTTAAATTAGGTAATGCAATTTTTCATGAAGAAAATTTTCCTTTTAAATCTAAAAATGATGGGGGTCAAAATTATCAAAAAAATATTTTATTTGAAACCGGTTCCTCTACTCCTCTTTTACAAAACCAAGACACTGTCGTTTTTGAACCTAGAAGGAGTAAAAGAGTCAGATTAGAAAAAGATTTTTGCCCTGATTATCATGTTTTTAATGTGGAAAAAACTCCATTAACTTTACAAGAAGCTTTGGCATCTCCTGACTCTGTTTTTTTTTTTTTAACAAGGTTGTAAATGATGAGATGGAATCATTATTATCCAATAAAACTTGGGTATTAGTAGATTTACCACCAGGTTGTAAAACTATTGGCTGTAAATGGGTTTTGAGAAAAAAAAACTTAAACCGGATGGAACTATTGATAAATATAAAGCAATGCTTGTTACAAAAGGTTTAAACAACAAGCAGATCTTGAATTTTTTTATATATTTTCTCCGGTTATTAGAGTTACATCCATTAGATTATTAATTGCAGTGGCCACAATTTATGATCTAAAAATTCATCAAATGGATGTTAAAACAACCTTTTTAAATGGAGACCTGTATGAAGAAATCTATATGGATTAACCTGAGAGTTTTGTAGAACTCGGTCAAGAAAGCAAAGTGTGCAAGCTAGATAAATCCCTATATGGCTTAAAATAGGCCACTAAACAGTGGCATGAGAAATTTGATTTCTGCATGATTGAGAATGACTATAAAACTAATGAATGTGATAAATGCATCTACTATAAATCTGCAGAAAATTCACATGTCATTATTAGCCTCTATGTGGATGATTTACTTATATTTGGCTCTAATTTGCATATCATTGTGGAAACTAAAAATATGTTTAGTAGCCATTTTGATGTGAAAGGTCTTGGTGAGACTAATTATATATTGGGAATGAAAATTACCAAAACCTACGATGGTATATTTTTTTATCAGTCTCATTACGTTGAGAAAATTTTGAGAAAAAATAATTTTTATAGGTGCAAGCATATTCTTACTTCTTTTGATCCTCATGTGCGTTTATTTTCTGTTGAAAATGATGAGGATGTAATTAATCAAAAGGAATATGCTAATATGATTGGTAGCTTGCGTTATGTGACTGACTGTATTAGACTTGACGTTGCCTATGCAGTTGGAGTACTTAACAAGTTTACTAGCAAGCCTGGCAGTGATCAATGGCTAGCCATTGAGCGGATTATGAAATATTTATCTGGTACTATAAATTATGGTTTGTTGTATAATAAGTATCTTGTAGTACTTGAAGGTTACAGTGATGCCAATTGGAACACCTTGTCAGGTGATTCATTATCAACCACTGGTTGCTTACTTACCTTTGGAGGTAGTGCTATAAGTTGGAAATCGAAAAAACAAACCATTATTGTTAATTCAATAATGGAGGCTGAGCTTATTGCTTTAGCTACAACTAGTGAAGAAGCAAATTGGTTAAAAGATTTGTTAAATGAAATTTATTGTTGGGAAAAATCGATTTCACCTATATTGATTCATTGTGATAGCACCGCAACAATTGATCGAGTTAATAACTATTATTATAACGATAAATCCAGATTTATCAAAAGAAAACACAGTACTGTGAGATCTTATATGAATAATGGCATCATAAATGTGGATTATATTAAATTTGGTGATAATCTTGTAGATCCATTAACTAAAGATCCATTAACTAAGGACTTAGCAAGAGATAGAGTCTGGAATACATCGAGAGGGATGGGGTTGAAGCCCATTGGAATATAGAAGGAGCCATGTATGAGGATACTTAACCCAGGGACCAGAGATCCTGTAACTGGGTTCAATGAGAAGAACGATCATATGATGGCCGTGAGAAATGCACTAAATTAATTTTTACCCATCCCTATGATGTAAGTGCATTTATCCTGTAACGTTGTAGAGGTTGAGTTATTAAAAAAAAAATTAATGAATTTCTGTAACTCTTATTAAGTGGGGTGTCATAGTTACAAGAGCACCCTTGACAAAATTCACCTATGTGAGTTTGGTAGTGAGGCCGCTACCTATGAGATTTGGGCTAATTCTCAAACACACTCATGAATCTTGGAATCGCACAAGGGCCGTAATGTGCTCGCTATTAAAGCTTATATGAACACTTGGAATATTATGTGTGTGCAACAATTATTTATTTCCCTTAAGCAGACATAGTTTAATGCTGAGCACACTATTGGCTTTGGAGTATATATTATTGTTTCATTAATGGAGGTTCAATGCAGAGCACACCTACCATGATGCATAATATCCTTATTTGCCTAATAATCTCATATGTTGTTTAAAATAGGTAGGAGAATGTTAGTTGATATTTCAATATTATTTGTGTTATAGATTATATTATTTGCTTGGGCTCCAAGCAACTTGTTCTCCAAGCCACCTTTCTTTGCCTCTAAGAAAAGTTTCTTTCCCTCCAAGTTCTCTTTTCTTTTCCTCCAAGAAAACCTTTTTCTTACCCACCAAGTTTCCTCTCCTCCAATAGAACCCTTTTCTTGCCTACCAAGTTTCTTCTCATATAAATTGAGCTAACCTTTTATCTTGAAAAAAGAAAAAAGAAGTGTTTGTTATTTTATTATTTTTGTGTGAGATTATCAGGCAAAGAAATAAATGATGTATGTGATAAAGTTTTAGGTTCAACCAATTGTGCAGTATTGGTAAACCATACGACTTAGTCGGGCTATTGTATCTTGGGAAAATAAGTCAAGATTTTTTCTGCTGCACCGGAATAAGGCTTTGCCTAACCGCAAAGGGCTTAAATCTTCTTAAAGAGATCGAATTTCCAACACCTCAGCCATTTCAATAGTTATTGTAATTTTTATTATATGTATTTTTTGGTATTTTATTTGTAATTATCACCAACAAGGAGCATAATTAATATCATCTTTCTGGCAGGGAGGAAGCCCAATTGTAATGGCTATGGCTCTCTTTGTTACAATCCCTGCTTTGTGGGCGGTGATGGCATAATGTTCTATTTCCATGGAGCAAAGGGAAGTGACTTTGCCATTGTCTCCGATGTGATGTGGTCATTTCATTGGATCCAGGCCACAGGGAAGAACCCGGGACTTCACATGGGTTCAAGCACTCTCAGTCATGTTTGACACTCACTCCCTTATCCTTGCAGCACAAAGAATCTCTCAGTGCGATGACACTGTTGATGCCCTCACTGTGAGGTGGGACAGCGACAATGTCAGCATCCCCACAGATGGAGACACTGAATGGAGTCCCCAGGTTAGCACTGGAGAGAGAAAAGTGGTGGTGGAGAGGACTGATGATGTGAACAGTGTGAGAGTGAAGGTCACAGGGCTGTTGGAGATGGATGTGAAGGTGGCACCGATAGGAGAAGAAGAGAACTGTGTTCACAAGTACCAGTTACCTGGTGATGACGCTTTTGCTCACCTGGAAACATAGTTCAAGTTTTTTGAGCTCTCAGAAAATGTTGAGGGAGTTTTGGGGAAGACTTACAGGCCGGGCTATGTTAGCCCTGTCAAGAAAGGGGTGCCGACGCCGTTGATGGGGGGAAAGACAAGTACCAGACTTCCATCACTTTATTCAGCTGTGTGCAAGGCTTGCAGGTTCCGGAGACCGTCTGGGTTTGCTTCGACCTGAGGACTCAAAAGACCATCTCAAATTTGCCAAGGATTATCAACAGTGCTAATTAACACATCTTCTTTGTTAGGCAAGGCAAGTACTGAGCAGCGGATATATCGATCTGTAAAAATCGACCGAACCGAACTAATCCACCGCATTTTGGACGGATGCGTGATGACGAGCGGACGGTTGCGGATTGATTTTCTCAAATCTGCCAATTTGGCGGACGGATGGCGGATTTAAGATTTCTTTGACCGCAACAAAACCGTCAAACCACGAGCACTCTTACTAATTTATAAGACTTTGTTTTTTTAATTTGTTTAAATATTATGTTTGTGTTTTCAATTGAAAAATAGTTTAAATATTCTGTTGAAAAAAAAAATTCAACTTGAATATATTTTTTGAATTGAAAAAAATAAACGTATTATTTATCTGTATTTTTTGGTTTTTAAATCTAACTCTAAAAATAATAAATAGAAAATATGATATATGCTGGTTGGTTTTTGTTTTCAAAAACATATATAGATGTAACAATACAGAAACATACAATCTCTACTACTGATCTGTTCATGGTTTTGGTAGTTTGAATTGTTATTATATTTTAAGAACCACAGATTGTAATACTTTATGTGGATAAATCATGCTGTGATTGCAATATGTAGATGAGGCATGCAGTGATCATGATATTCTAAAGTTTTAAACTTTCTCTCTTTAGATAAGACATACAGTGATTTAAATATTTTTTTAAGTCATTGACTGTAATACTTTTTTTTTTTGGAAGAAGTGCACTAGTTGAATTATGTTGAAAATTTATAAAATTTTAAACTGTCAAACCGATTCGCATCCATCCGCCAAACCGCCAATCCGCTCAATCCACATCCACCGGATTGGCGGACGGATGCGGATTGATTTTTTTCAATCCGCCAATCTGGCGGACGGATGGCAGATTGGAGATTTCGTGGGCACAACCGACCCGCACCCACCCCTAGCAAGCAGGCATAGCTGAAGAATAAGCCTAGAAATGCAAAAATCCGCGACAGAATTGGACATAGAATGAATGGATGGACAAAGTTTTTCAAAAGTGGGTCACCGATAAATTTTTGTAGAATCTAATCCATTCATGTGTATTGTGTGTTTTGTTCTGTGTTTGATTTCTGCATTCAAAGCAGTGTGTATTGGGATTTTGTTGATGGTGTGGTTAGCTTTGTATTTGAATGAATTGAATAAAATAAATAAGGGCATGACTCGCCCACAAAATACAATCTCATAAGCTGATTTTCAGTTAGTGCCGTGTTTCGGTTGATTGTTTCATGGGAATTGGTAGATTGAGCTCTGCAAATCTCTACCGAGTAATAGTCCCTTTTCTCGAAAGAGAAGACAGCCATTTATTTTATTTTCAAATTTATTAACCATTTAAAATGTTTACCCGGTTGTACATTTACCTGGGGACAATGCTTTGCATGCACCCCAGACAGCCAATGCTACAATGCAAGGTCTCTTCATGTACACGAAGCTTCTACTGCTAAGCTCTTGGTCATGCCAACACACGGGTCACCAAATGTATCGATTGACACTCCAATACTGCAACTCTTTGATCCAATGCAAGCCTGTAAAATTTTTGTGCTAGATATAAGTTGATTAGATCAAACAGAAAGTCACACAGGTAAAATGAAGTCTATCAAACTAAGCGTATGCAAAAGTGCACCTTCTGTACAATAGAAAGAGCAGTGGCGCTGCTACACTGGCCATGGCTAAAACTTCCACAAGTCCCATGAGGAGTTCCGAAGCTTGCAAAATTGATTGAAGAAATAACCTGATTAGGGAAAGGGCATTCCAGTGATAGCATAGGACCTGATCTCCTTCCTGTCTCTTGATCAGAAGTCCACATGTCCACGGGTTGTGGGTGAGACTCTGAAATGTGAGAGCACAAACTTTCTATCTGTCTTGCAGCAAAAGATATCTGTGTTGGATCACCACCCATTTCCTCAAACAAAACCAGAGTGTTCCCACTTGGTTGTAACCATGAGCGAGGCATGTGGTACCTACAAGATCAATTAGATCAGAATCATTATCTTAAAAGAACTACAATTACTAGCAAAAATTTCAATACTTACAGTTGCTGTGAAGGTTTCCCACAATTCTTGAGGCATTTGTGCGATCTATAAGCTCCTCTGTAATTGCAGGTGTCCGTGCAACCACTATTCGAAGAGGTATAAGTTGGCCAATAACGTCCAATGCTTTGTCCATTCACCCATGCCTCCCCCTTTCCCATCCCCATGAAGTGTAGTGCAATTGGGTCATTGCCAGAAGGGGCATCGAAATTTGTCTGATATCAGTAAGTATTGTTCTGTGTTAGCATCTCAAGGATTGTGCCAGTTTCTTTCACAATAATCTTCCCAAACAAGCATCAGAAAGTAAGCTAGAATAAACTAAAGGCTAAGGATTCAATGCAATGTAAGAACGTTCATGAACTCAGTTAATCACGTAGTTTCAAGTAAATATCAACATTTGACTGTTGTACACATACAGTGCCTCATTTACCAATATCCAGGACCAATCTAATTTTTTGAAGTTACATAAAAATTGATGAACTATGTCATAACTTTTAGCAAACAACATGATGAAATTTTAGCCTTTTACAACTTTTTTTGTGGCCTTGAATCCCTTAATTTGCCTTAACAGTAAGTTAAAAAGAAAGAGTATTGACCTTGTACTCGTGTCAAAAAAATAAAAATTACCGTGTACCAAATCAAGGGTTGCTTCTTGGGCAAGGTGGATTCTGATACCCAACCTGAAGAACCTACACTGGAGAGACCTAATTCTTCACCTTTGAGTCCAACCTGCACCGAAAGAGACAAAATGAGGGAGACTAAGTCTGAAGATTACTGCATTTAGTCCATCAATCAAATTCAAACTAGTATCCTTGCAAAGCCAGGAAAATCTCCGGTTATATACTCCAAGGCCGGCCCAATACTCTTGGGGGAGCTTAGGCAAAATCTTAAAGGGCGCTCTTTTACAGTTAATCATTAAATTTTAACTGTAATTTTTTTTATTAAAAAAATAAATAAATTCATTTTCCTTGCATGTCTATTCTTGTAATTATGATATTATTATTATTATTATTATTATTATTATTATTATTATTATTATTATTTTGCTAAGCCTTTGGACAAGGAGGGTTTCTTTTTTTAAAAAATAAAAAAATAAAAAAATTGGCCAAGACTGTAGACAAGGAGGATTTTTTTTTACGGGCCTTTTGACAAAGATCAAATAGGGTAAAAATTGGGGGCTTAGGCAAGTGTCGGGAAGGGCTGGCCCCTGACATATTCTGATCAATTAAAATTAATAGTAAAAGTTTGTTGCTTCATTTGCCAAACTTCCATATTTTTGGGGTCTTCTGCTAATGCTAAAAATTATATTTTACAATTTCTATTGAGGGAGTACCATTTAGCAATTAAACATGGAAGGGCATTCTGAAGATTAAAACAAACTCACCTGATATGTCCACTGCTGCGAGGAGAGATCAATGGTAGATCCATTATTTACACCTTTCAGCTTCACTGGACCAGTAACTCCAGCACCCTTTTTGTCAAAAAATGCTCCATAGTTCTGGACAATGTTAATATGGTTTGATCAGTTATATTGCCCAGTGATATTTTGACTATCAATGCAAATAACAATCTTCTCTTTGATAAATGCTAACATAAATCTTAATGAGGAAGGAAGGTCAAACCTGAAGTCCCACTGTCAAACTCAAGAGATCGATTATGTTCTTTCCAGGGACGAGTGTGATGCGAACCTCCATTGAAACCTTAGCATTGCCACTGTTGCCTTTTCCACTCCCTACAATGAACCATTTGACAGTTTTACATTCATAAAGTAAGATTTTATTAAACAAGTAGAGGTACAATTGGAAAGAAAAAAAAAGAGAGAGTAGAACACACAAAACAGACCATTAAGAATTAAGAAACAGCAATTTGACCTCCAAAAGAGTAAAAACAGCACCCAAAAAAAAAAATTAAAATTAAAAACAAAAACACTCTCCAATAAACTCATGTCCCATCTTTTTTCATCACCTGCAAGTTTGCCATTAATGAAAGCATGAAGGGCATGGCCAAGTGATTCCACATGAAGAACTGTTTGAGATCCATCTTGAAGGAAAGGCTCATCGCCTTGAATGTCGGTGCTGCAAACAGTACCCATGAGCATCATTGAATTATCTAACACATCAAATTCTAAGGCTTCACAGATCACAACTAAGTAAAACAACACATTTTTAATACCTCAGTGAATACCACAGATAGTCACTTAGGTCAGCTGTAGTATTTATTTGCTCCGCTAATCCAAGTTTTGTGAATGCATTTTTACTTGAGATTCCAACTGGTTCATTAAACCAACTCCAGCCCGACAAGAATGCTTCAGAAGTAGTAACATCATCATTTGATGATTGACGTATGAATTTTGGAATTGTAGTCACTGAATTAATCTGTCACAGAAAATTACAAAATTAGGTTATGTTGTTATTGGAACAAAGAGAAGTTCACATCTTCATAGAACCATTTTATAGAAAACAGCAACAACCAAAATTTAGGTGATCTCCGAAGAATTGAAGCTAAAAGAGTATATATGTAAACAGTTGGAATGGTGGACCGGGGGAGGACGTTCTACCTGAAAGGATTCACAAGAGATTGTCTACATGGCTCTGTTGTAGGTTTTGTGGTGCGAGAAGCTGGAGAGAGACTCTACAATTATTGTGTTAAGGCCTTCCTGTGGATATCAGGTAGTGTGTCCAAATTGAAATTTTGATTTTTAGGTTTTATTTTATACTCTCTTTTGGGTGTTTATAATTTACTTTTATTCTGTAGGCTCTAAGGAAAATATCCATGTAATCTACTTACTCTAGAGAATTACATTGATTTTTATTATTACTAACATTGAAATTTGTGTTCTGATGATATTTTTCATCCATGTCTCCTCAATATATATAAATATATATTATTTATATTACATATTTGGTTTGTTTTTCGATTGTCAAAATCAATACCCAAGTTGATATAGCAGAACCTACAATGGTATTACAGCTCATAAACCTTCTTTCAGTGTATTGACTTTTAAAACAAATCTTAAAGCCTCAGAAAATTTTATTTTGTTTTTTAAAGTGGAAAGAACACAAGTCAACAATTAAAATATCAAATAGAGTTCCATCAAGCCCTTCGCAACGGCATCTCATTGTGATCAAATTTCAAACTATCTATATATGATGCGGTAGATATGGATAAAAAAAGTATAACTTCAACGCAAGTTATTTTGCTTTAGCTAATTTATATATATAAAGGAGCCCCCACTTCCAAAACATGCTAATGTAATCAAAAAGTTAAAAGCAACAAGTATATATAGAAGAAGCTTGTACTGAACAGAGTTTGTAGTCAATAGCATCGTAAATATGAGACATAATTTAAGTAGGCTGACCTTTGCAGTATTAAGCACTGCATTTTTGCAGTCAGGTAAAATGCTCACAGACCATGCAGGTAAATGATATGAATTGCCATTGAATTTCACAATTGCGTCGGATTGGGTACCCACATTGGCTAGAAAAGCAGCACACAACCCTGATGCTTTATATACACTTGCCTGAAATGGGAACAATGCATCTCAAAGAAAACAAAAAATATTTATATATCTTTAAAAGTTTACAGCATGATTTATAAAAATAAAACTTCGTTAATCAATAGATGCACAAAAAAATGAAGAAGAAAGAAATTCAACTCAATTCAGCAATCTTCAGATATGCACAAAACTCAAAAAATCATGCAAGTAATAGAACAAGACTCACAAGGATCATGAAAACTACATACAAGAAGATCCAAGCATTTTCTTTAAAAAAAAATTCTCATTTGTAAGAAATGAAAATTCTCATTCACAAAGTTCAAACTCAAGTGCCTGGAAGTTAAAGTCCACTTTTCTAGCTTCATCAATCATGATTAAAAATTCAACATACACATTCATCATGGAGAAGTACTAAATCGTGCCCAACTAGTCATATAGAGGAGCTCAAAAGTGGAAGAAAACAGTTCATTTAAGGAACAATTTTTAACATTTAAAATTGTGCTTTTGCAGAGGTGTAACCTATTACAGAGTGTTGTTGAATGGTGCTTTTTTTTTTTTGCAAAGCCCTAGAATACATAATACGATAATGAAATTGTAACACACATGTAGAGAAAACAGAATAAGCAGCTTTCTCTCTTCCAATGGTAACACAATTAATTACAGAACTATTAAAAGGGGCCTTGGAAACAAAAAGTCTGGAAATGTGACATTGGGTGAAATTTGTTGGATACACCACCCATCTTTCACTTAAGCAAGTAGTTCGTGAAACAAAGCAGCAGTCCCAGTCAACCCAACATCTGATGGACACTAGTGACTTTGCTTCAAGCCTTATCGAAACTTACAACGGATTTATAACAGGATTTTGACACTACTTAGCAAATCATGAAACCACAATTAGTGCAACTTTGTCATTTTTTCTTGGAACAATCTCAAATCAATAGCCACTATATACACTTGAATTTATTTATTTATTATTTTTTTGTGGCTCAACTGTGCATATAAACCCTCAGCTCACTACAAAAGTATCATATTGCTGAAGATATCATAGAGTTAAGGAGTAGATAATTATTGGTGTACCTCCAAATTTGAACCAAGAGAAGTAATTGTTGGTTCAGTGGCCACCATTGCCTCTTCACATAGCTTTATAGATTTATGAAGATCTTTTAGATGGCCCCACTTAGGTTGTCTAAGAAGTCCTGCAACATTTGGGGAATATGTTAGAAGCCTTTTTGGATGGAAGTCAAGGTTCAACTATTAAAAAAGAGAAGCCTTGAATTATAGTTGATTTAAACATCTAAGACTTCTTTGGTTTACAGCATTTCATATGCTGGAGTTATCAGTTAGGTTGCATATAAGATGCAACTGATCACTGTTACTTCGCATCTGAGTACCATAACTTCAAGGGGCTTACAGTAGTAGGGAGTGAAAATTTTAAATTATTGAAGGTGGGAGAAAAATAATACCATACTCATCAATTGGAGCATCATAATCATAACTTGTTGTAATGAAGGGTCCACCAGAAGTCCGGCCAAAATTAGTCCCACCATGGTACTGGTAGAGCAACCAAAACATATTTAATATATAAGCAAGCATTCTGGTTGATTGAAACCGGACTTCAAGCAGAGTGTGAATCATAAAAACTCATAAAAAGTGTAATAGCTTTCAAGACAATTGCGATACCATATAATAATTCTGGAAGGTTCCCCCTCGCTGGAAAAATCGTGCCACAGCAAAAGCAAGGTCTTCCACAGGTCTGTAGGGAACAGCACCGCCAAATGGAAGAAACCTATCATTCCAGACAACCAGAGAGGTTGAAAACATAGAAGCATTTAAAATAAAGAAACCTGAATATTGATACTAGCAACTTCTGATCCAAAGCATACTGTGAGGGTCTACGAAGCACACACTTACCATCCAGTCCAATTCTCAGTCCACATTTTTGGTTTCTTGGCGGAATTGGGGGTGAATTGGTCACAATAAAATCCATTGCAAGTGTTGATCTGTAAGAAAACAACATGGAAGTTCATAAAAACATACTGGTAATGTTTGACTTCAAAATACAACGCTTTGCAGTTAACAAACTACACAAATAAACTTAGAGAAGATCGAGGGACTAACTATAGGATCAGGTGCATCTGCTTGCTGGCACATCACCCATGGCACTCCTGTATCCAAAGATGTAGCCATGCTTGCTGCCCAATTAATATAAGTCTTGGCAGCAGATCCATACGCCGAGTCAATGTTCCCATATTCGTTTTCAATCTATCACAAAAACAAAACACTTCCCTCCGATCAAAATCCTCAATCATCATAAAATTATTAAGATAAAACTACACAGCACCCACAATCACACAATGCTGCATATATATGACAAATCTACATAAAAACTATGGAACTAACCTGGGATAAGATAATGGGTCCACCTTGGGATGCATAGAGTTTTTCTTGCTTCATCATGTCCACAATCTTGGCTGTAAATCGCTTCATTTCCGCCTAAAACAGAAGGAAGTCCAATGAGCATATTTAGGCCATCAATTTAAAATTTAACAGCAGGACAAAGTGAGGGGGAATACCTTGAATGGCTTGTTATCGGTTCGAAACTGAATTCCAGGTATGAAATGCAACCAAAGAGGAAACCCACTGTTCAAAAACAGAGTCTGAAGCAAAATTCACTGATGAATTGTATACAATAGATTGCAACAAAATTGTGTAAGATTTTACCCGTAGTTCCATTCAGCACAAGCATAAGGACCAATCCTTAGATGAGCATATAAACCAGCTTCAGCAACCAATTTAATAAATTTAACTAAATCTTTTCCTCCTTCAAAATCATACTGCATTGAATGTCAATAATTATAAGTAATCAATTGAAGTAATTCTTATTTGCTAATATTCTCCAAGAGTTAATTTAATGCCCTGTTTGGTTGCTGACAAAATGTAAAACTAAGACCTGTTTTCGAACCGGTTCATGCAAGTTCCAGAAAACGTAGGTCTCGATCACATCCAAGCCTCCATCCTTAGATTTCTGAATGAGGTCCGACCACATCTGCATCAACGAGGATTTACATAAGAGAATTTTAGAGAGAGAAAGTTTTAGAGAGAGAGAGAGAGCTGACGTCGGGAGTGCTGCGAGGGTAGTGAATGGAGCCGGAGATCAAGACCCTGCGGTTTCCATCGATCAGCAGAGCTCGATGATCGTATGTCACATTGGCACCAAACGACGTCCTTGCAGCAAGAACGCCGACTACCAAAACCGAAAGAAAAAAAAGCTCTCTCCCTCTCGCAGCCATGGCCGGTGAGAAACAAAAATTGCTTCCGCAGAGTTGTTCAATTGCTGTTGAATAACAATTTTCAAAAACTGTTTTCGTAAAACAAATCCTTGAAAGAGAATGTATTACTTCGCTTTGCCTAGCTTAGGTTGATCATTTTTTCCTGTTGGTTAGAGTGCTTTGTAAAAACACAGAAAACACTCTGTGTGCTTTGGAGGGAATCAAAATGTCGGTAAGAGCGAGCTAAGCTATCGTGCGCCGGAGAGACGACACGCCTACTTTTCCTGCTCCTGCTCGCTTCACGAGCGTGTCATCGTCCCTGTGGTCGTTGTCTTCCACCAATAGTTGCCAGTGCCACTGACCTTCATTCACTTCACTCTCTCTCTCTCTCTCTCTCTCTCTCTCTCATCCCATGATATTCGTCCACAAATGTTTTAGAGCTTTAATTGGATGTGATAGTGATGTTTGGGTTTGTGTTGTTTTTTGTTTTTGTTTTTGTTTTTTTTTTTTTTGATAAATTACAAAAATATCTCTTGAAATTTATTTAAATTATAAATTATTCTGATAATTTTAGAAATTATATTATGTTGTTAAAGTTTTTAATTTCATAACAAATATGTCTTTTTTATTAATAAATTATTAAATTAATTAACAATTTTTAATAATGTTAAAATTTTATTTCAATTAATAATTCATATAATTTTATTATTATATAGGTGAATAATTAGAAATTTCACTTTTCAATTAATTCTGTTAAATAAAAAATTCTGACGGAGAGGTATTTGTAATTTTCTAAACCACATGAAACAATTCGTTTTTAAGCAAATCTCAAGGGTATATTTTTAATTTACCCTTTTTTTTTAATTTTTCATGTCATTAAAGCTCATTCATTTAGGATGATATATCATTGTTGTATATTTTTTAATTACTACGAATTAATTATATGAGGGTTTGTTTGGTAATGACTTTTTTAGTTGATTTTTTTGACTTTTTTAGCCTGAGACTTTTTTGTTTGTTTGGTTTTCTCGTTTTGGCTTTTTTGGTTTTTTTTGCATTGGAAATGATGCTCTCAGAGTGAAATGACAAAATTGCCCTCCACTTGGAAATGATAATTTTTTGACTTTTTATTTGTATATGAGTCAGTTTGGTAATTTTACATCCCAACTCAAGTGTTTTAGTATTTTATGATTTTTGTAGCTTTTTTTTGTCCATATATGATTATTAGCCTCACAATAAATGCCAAACTAGGGCTCAATATCATTGAATCTAAAAAATAAATTTAAGAGGGATTTATATATCATTTTTTTTAAGAGGGATTTATATATCATTTTTTTTAAGGGAATTATCCCATGAAATGTTAGAAAATTTTTATAAATATGAATTATTAAAAATATTTATAAATATTTTCTACCCCTTATAATTATAATAAAAAATTTACTCCAACATAATAAATAAATTTTCCCTAACCTATTTGGTGCAGTTTAAAAGTGTGGTTTTTTTTTTTTTTAATACTAGGAGTGGTATACATGTATGTACATTACATGTGGTATATTTGTAATTATATTTTTGAAATGAAATTTTTTATAATAATATAAAGGAAATAGACATTAGAAAAATAATAATTTATAGTGAATTTATAAATTTTTGTGGATTTGTCAACCAAACAAAAAAAATAGTGTTTCATAGCGAATGAGAAAAGTGAGAGATTCGATATTAAAAAGTTATAGATCCACTGATATAAAATAAATTGATGATGTACAAATGTGATTTGATCGATAAATAACCAAGCAAAAATTGTAAAAAAAAAGAAGAAATTTAAACCCAGAATTTATCGAGTATCTTGATGAATGATCTAAATTCAATTCTTAAATTATGGGTCCTACTTCTAAAATAAATCTCAACTACACATGTATTTTCTAGAAAAATTTCTAATAAAAATTTTGAGTTTGTAGAAGTCCGCGTGACAAAAACAAATGTGTATTATGTGAAAAATATAAAAGTTGAGCTTGTGAAAAATTTTGAGTTTGTAGATGTCCGAGTGGTTGAATTCTCTCTTGTACTGTAAACACAAGTAAAAGTTGTATATGTGAAAAATAATGAAAAACTTACATTTTATATAGAAGATAAAGTATCTCTCAATAAATAGATGTGTCTATTCAATTTAATTCTGTAATGATTTGTAAGAGTATGAGAATTCGGCCTATATAAAAATATTAATTTCTAATTTTTAAAATTAGGGTTGAGTTTAAATTTGAGAGAACTTGACGGTTTCTTGAGGGTCACCAAAAGTTATGTTTTGATAATTCGAACTGTTCATTTGTAGAATTCGCAGTATATATCGTTCATAGAAAAAAAAATTAGATTAATCTGATAAGTATAACATTTTTATTTTATCACATATCTCTAAAAAAATATATGGCAAATATATTTTTAAAAATAAAACCTTTTTTTAGATAATCACAATAAAATTTACACGAAGAGTCGTACAAAATGAACAATTTGAATAATAAAAATAGAACTTACGGTGAGCCTCGCGAGCCCACCAAATTATATCAAGTTTATATTTGAATTTAGATTTAAATTTTTGAAAAACTCAACCATAAAATTATGTGTTATTATATGAAAAATGTTAGAGACCCAAAATTTTATATCTACAAATTCAATTACAATAATGTAGCAAGACAATTGGACACTATATCTACTACTATAATTAAGTGTGTGTCAAATTAAAAATTAACATGTATTAGTATCATTATACCATATCATTATGAATTAAATTAGAATTTTTTTAAAGAGTTTCAATAATAATAATAATATTATTATGAAGTTCTTTGACAAATGAAAACCGTAAATTGTTCATTTACAAATTCAGAAGTCTTAGTGCTTGTTGCTACATGGTGCCTGTGACTGTTGTTATATGGTGCCTTTTCAAGGATAATGTGTTGAGAAGGATATTTTGGGAATATGAAAAAATAGAAAATAAGTGAGGTGTATCTTGAGAATATGAAAAGGTAGAAAATAAGTAATAGTGCTCACATGTTTAAAATATTATACTAGAAAACAAGGGAGAATCTTCACACTTTTAAAATAGTAGTAGATTATTTAAGGTTACTCTCCTCTGTATATATGAATCATGAAAACAAATTAATTTAATAATCATAATCTATTTATTTAATCACATTTATTTTTTTTAAAAAAAAAGTTGAATGATTTTGAAAATAAATTATCTATTTTTTTTATAGGGTCTAAGGGCCTGTTAAGTTCTCTCAAATTTAAATTTAAATACGAGAGAAGTTCAACTCTATTATTTATTTTGAGAGTTTATATTAAATTGTTTGGTATACTTTTTACTTATAATTTAAAATAAATTAAATAAACTAAAAATATTACATAATAGAAACGATAATTTTAATTACTCTCTCCATCCCATTTTTTTTAGTCTACCGTTCTATTTTAATCTGTTCCAAAATATTTGTTCACTTTTTATTTTAGGATATTAAATTTAAATAGATTTTCAAAATTATCCTTTATAAATTCTTATAAACACATTTTAGAACTCAAATAAAAGGGTAATGGTAAAAAGAATATTTTAAAATTTAAATTAAAATATAATAATTATATGTCTTTCCAATAAATTAAATTTTTTATAATGAATAAACAAATTAAAAATGGAGAGAATATTAATTATTAATTTTTAACTTAAAAAATCAAATACAACAAACAAACCCCATATTTGAAAAAGCATTTTAAGAGTGATAATGATAATGCTTTCTCATCCCGTAGGGGTCGGCCGGAAGATTTGTCGGTGAGTAATAACAAAAGATTTTTATAACAATTTGTCCTTGAGATTTAAATTTCATAACAAATTACTTCTTAATTTGTTATGTAAATATAACATTCAGAGGAAAATTTGTAATTTCTCAAACTTCAGGAATATTTGTAATTTAGCCAAACCTTGAGAGGTATATATAATTTGTCTAAAAGAAAGAAAAATACAAAAAGATAAAATTAATTGTATAAGTTAATAAAATAAAATATCATATTCAAATCATAATTATTATATTTTTTTTATAAAAATTAAAAAAATCAAATCAAACAAGACTAAAAAAATCAAGTTAAAAAAAAATCTCAATATAAAAAAATCAGACAAATGAAGACTGGACACTAAGGCCTCGTTTGGGAACAGGCTAATTTAGTAACTTTTTGGCTATTTGGCTAAAAAGGTAGGTAAAAAAAATTTGTATGTTTGGGATGACTTTTTGGCTAATTACGAAAAGATGTGCAAAAAGTAGAGAGAAAATAGAATCTTTGACTTTTTGGTATGGGTTGTTGGCTTTTTGGCTAATTTAGTAACTTTTTGGCTAATTGGCTAAAATAGCCTCTTGCCAAACGAGGCCTAAGGGCTATTTTGAGAAGTTGGCTTTTAGTCACTTTTTTTGGTTTGTAGCAAAAGTCAAAAGTTGGCTTTTTTGTCTTTATTTTTCATTTGGGAAGTTGGTTTTTAGCCAACGGTGAAATTACAATTTTATCCTCAGGGGTAAAAATGTATTACATAGGTGAAGTTGTAAATATTTTAAATAAATAGGGATAATTTGGTCATTTTATTATGATTTGACATCATAAACAAACATTAATAAAAAAAAATCAAGAAGTCACTTTTTACCAACTTCCAAAATCATTTGTCTAAAAAAGTCAAAAACTTGATTAAAAGTCAAAAAATCACTTTTTACTATCTTTTCAAAATAAACCTAAGATATCACGTGATTACATTTCGTATCAATTATAAATTATTATATTTTTTAACCACGTAATATAAAAGAGTGAAGCTTATTTTCATTATCAATTATCCGAGTTTTTTAAGAAATTGGTAAAAAGTTAATTTCTAACTTTTTATCTATTTTAGATCACATCATATCTCATATAAATTACTCATAAAAAAATAAAATACACTAAAAAAATTAAAAAATTAATTTTTTATCAACTTTCTAAAACACCCCATAAGAGAGAGAGAGTAACCACGTAATATAAAAGAGTGAAGCTTATTTTCGTTATCAATTAGCGGAGTTTTTTAAGAAATTGGTAAAAAATCAATTTCTAACTTTTTATCTATTTTAGATCACATCATATCTCATATAAATTACTCATAAAAAAATAAAATACACTAAAAAAATTAAAAAATTAATTTTTTATCAACTTTCTAAAACACCCCATAAGAGAGAGAGAGAGAGAGAGAGAGAGAGCATCATATATGAAGCAATCAATCACTTCTCTAGTAATAGTGGTTCATCCTGCAGCATGATTTGTGAAGAGACGTTTGTCATTGTCCCAAATAATCATCATAATTTATTCAAAATTGTTAATTACAAGCACACACAAAGATTATACAAATATATATATATATATAACACAATTAAAATTAGGAGAGT